AATTCGATCAAACTCGATTATTCGAAGCTTTCCGATCTTCCTGTTCGACTTACTTTGAGGAATAAAATCACAAAATACAAAGAAATACAAGGAAGCTTTAAAATCGGCAATTTCGGTAAATTTTATTAGCTTATAAAATATTTCCCCGGTGGTTCCAGAGCCTCGTGCACTCTCGTGAACAGCACGGTGTCCCAGTTCGATTTACGAACGAGCGTGTCTCGGAAAATACTCGAATCGAAGAGGAAGCGAGTGTACGAACGAGGTCGAGGGGATCATTAAGGTGTCAGGCGCAAAAATCGGCAGTTCCTGTGTCAAGGTTGCCATGGTATCCTTTTCTCCATAATTCTCCCGTTATTAATTTAATTTCTCCGTTCCATTATACCAACATTCACCTGTCGCTCTGTACGCACGCATATTCGCTTTATAAAATTTTTGAATTTCATTTTCCCTCTGCAGTTTCATCCGTTTCGCTTATTTCCGCTACCGCCTCGATCATCCGAGCTATAAAAACGGATCCAATTTTCGTGGAGCTCGTTTAACAGAACTTCGCTTCCGATAAAACCGATTCCCATACAACTTGTATACATCGTATCGCGTTAGTTTTAACACTAGCCGTAGTTTCGCGATTTCGAGAGCAACATGGCGGATCCCCACCCTCCAGCCAATCTTATAACTCGGAACACATTCCGTGGACCCAACCATGGACGACATCGCTGACAATTCGTTGGAGAAAATTATCCTTAATTCCGTGCAGTCGATGACACCGTTTTGGCCAACTTCTCCAACTCCCCTTCGACTTTGTTCGGTACTAATTGGCCTAAATGTGGACCCCAGACCTTTGTCACCACGCCACGTCATGGTCCACCAATGATATCCGATTTCTTTCAATTCCCTCCGAAATTTCAATTCAAATGAATTTTCAATTTCAAATCGAAAGGTCGATTAACTCTCGTGAAAATCATTTTTCAGAAATCGGAAACTGATTTTATTGACACTCCGTGTAAGGGGTTGCATCAAAGTAGAAACAAGGAAAATTAATTCTCCCATAAATTGAATTTATAATTACGAGCTTGCTATATCGAAGTTGAGGTAAAATATTGGTTAACGTAATAAAATTTAAGACGAGGAGTATACTCTCGAGTAATTAATTTTAATTTTCGTTCCATCGTGAGAAAAATTGTCGAAGCGGCGGAATATTTGGAGACAAATTTTTAGCGATATTTTGATTTCACAGATAGCGAATGTTCGTTTGCGCGAACATATTTGACGAATAACGCGCAGCTAATAATATTAATAACGATACTGAATTTATTGAAAAAACAACGCTTTTCGGGAAACTGATATTTGAGCGTCGGTAGCGACGTATCTATTTCACGTTTCTACCTTGTATTTTGAATTTCATTTATATTTCCCACGCTCCTGTTGTCATACACATCACGCCGATTGATTTTGAATAAAAATTGTTTCCGGCAAATATCTCTCTCGCGTTAAAAATTGCTTCGCGAAATTATCTTTACTCTTTCGTCTCCATCTCTCATTAACCTATTTTCCAATTATCGCATTTTCGTAATTTATCGTTCATCCTAGTTTTGCTCTAAATTAAAGACGAAATTTACGAAATTCTGCATTGCATAGGTCCCTTTATCGGTGTCGCGGATTTACAGGAAAGATAGTTTCGGTTTAATAAATAGTCGAATATCTGGACAAGCGATCTTGACAAATGGGCCTTTCTTCGAAAGCACTCGATTACTCGGTGTCCAGTTTTCTCGCATAGAAAGACCGGATCGCGTTATTATTTCGAAAAATCGTTGATTACCAGCGATAAAGGGTGTTGTACAGGCGTCCGTCCAGTCATCAGATGCACAGGAACTGTCAATACCGCCGGTGAAATCGATTCTCGTTCACGGGGGTGCAGATTGAAAGCACGCGAACGATAAAAGTTTCGCACTCGGTTCGTCGTCGTGTCTGATTTTTTTCGTCCATTTCTCCTCTTTACCCTTCCCTTTTTTTCCCCATTTTCATTTTTCGTTCATATTTTTTTCCTTCCTCTTTTTTCCATTTCGTTCTTCCTGCATCAAACGGTCGAACACTCGAGCAGACCGGGAAAGGATAATAGAGCAAATAAATTCGTTCCGGCGGAATAAACGCGGCGGTTGCAAATTGAAAAATGACAATCTGTTTTAATTAACGTGTCCGTGCGTTCTCATTAATTCAGCTGCCGCGACTGCTCCGTACGCGATTCTCGCTTTATTTATTGAAATTAAAATCCGTGGCTTCCGTTAAACATCGCGCGGCCGCCATTTCCTAACCGGCTGCCATCACGGACGCCCAAACGAATCGAGATCGAATTTGCCTCGGTTTTGCTCGTTAGATGCCAACGATTTGCTATTCCGTTCTTTGCTGCAGAAGTAATCGTAAAGTAATCGTAGAAAACGAGCAACTGTGGATCTTCGAACGATTTTGGATAGTCGCTCGAGCTTCCGATCTTCCAAGTCTAATTTATAGCTTGAAAAGTTTCCGAAGACAACGAATTATTCTTCCAACGATGCATTATGCATAATTTTTAATTTTAATCGTCGATTTTGCTGATGGAATTGATCGAATCGAAACCCGCGAGTCTAACGACACCGATTAATAAATTACGATTTTCTAAATTTATTTCCGTACCTTCATTGAAGGTTCGATTGGCATCTTCAGTTTTATTACGTTTATTTCTGCTCTGTCTTTTCCTCTCCGTTCAATTGGATCGTTTATTTGCAAGTGTAAGTAGGTTTCCCAATATATCTCGATGAAACGTCGCGGTCCGATAATGATAAAAATATACTCGATCGCGGAATAGATTCGAATTTATTTATGTACAAATAAAATATAGCGTGTCAACGTTAATAGAGATTTATTAATTAATAGAATGTATGGCGACAAAGGTGCACACTCGATCCCGCCGTTTAATTCTTCCCCGTTTTAGCAAAATTAATTTCGCAACGGGAAGTAAGCGTTAAAATTATTTCCGCTGTATGATTGACTCACACTACTGTCCAGGTTACAAAACCGAGCGAGAACCAGGTTTTGCAAATTAAAAAATTGCACGAGATTACTCCGTGTTCCAATTTATGGCACCGCCGTGTATCATAGTCGCGAACTTAATCCAAGGAAACGGGAACGAATTTATCGAAACATCTTACTTCCGTCGAACTTTTAAAACGGGGAAAGAGAGAAAAGGAAAAAGGAAGAAGGAAAAGGAAAAAGTCTGTTGCTCTACTGGCCTGATCCCGCAAAACCCATCGGCGTTCACGGCGAGTAAAAGGGTCCGATTGAATCCCAGATCCTCGGGAAATTAATGCACCATTCTTTCCATTTTCCCGATTCCCTTTCTAGCGAGGCCACTCGACGGCCCGTTCGATCGCGAGCCAATCGAGGATCTCCGTGATTTCGACGAGCCAAGAGTGGTCTTTAGAATGATTCTTTTCGAGACGTCGAGGCGGGACGATTGTAGCAATTAGCGCTTAATTGCCGCTGCTTCGGGCCACTGAAAACGTTCGGTGGCTAGAACAGTCCTCGAACCTTTCCTTCCTTTTCAAACGGTGGATCCCTTGTTGCCGCTCGCCGGTTTTCCGTCGATTTATCATGCACAATATAGACGCTTATCCGGCCTTCGGGGGGTCGAGGGACGGCAGGGGCGAGGACACGCCGTTAATCCGACCACTTAAAATTTAATAAGCCTGTGTCGGCAGATGCGACGTTCGGTTTTCAGTGAAATAATAATTTCGCGCTCGAGAGGATGGCTCGTTGCCGTTTTAATCCTCGTCTTCGAGGATACCGCGGTACTTTTTGAATTTAAGCCGCAGTTTAATCGTTAAGTCAAGTCGAGCAGGTGATCGAATATCGAATTAACGCGGCAATATCTCGCGATTACCTACTCTCCCGAGATCGTTTCCTGTATTTCCCGAGTTTCCACGCGTTGCTTATTAATCGGCCTTTCAATATCCGCGCCCGTAGGTACAATGATCGATTTTTTCACTTACCGCATTGCAATGCACAGTGTACCGTGTTGCTACCCCAGTAACATTGCAAACATATGTGCTTCGAGGAATGACTGCTTTGCATAAACGAATTTGGTAACGATTTTGTCGATACTCGTTAATATCACCGTTGAATATGGAACACGGGTGGGCAATTTTTAATAGCAATTTTCAAAAATTCAGCGATATTAAAAACTACCCATTCGAATGGTCGTGAGAGAGAACGACGTGTATGTACTTTTGTACACTTGTTTCATTGATCGATCGATCGATTCTTCCGACATTCGCTCGCTTTATTTTCTCTCGTGTTTATTTCAAAGCGCGTTATTTTAACCGAAACTATACCACGTCGTATAAATTCCATTTCGTACGTTCAATTCCGATTAATTACCTTTCACACGCGCGAAAATCTCGATAAAAGTGTCGGAACACGAGGCTTCCCTGGTGCCTCGTGGCAATTAACGAAAATTCGCGCTTACAGCGAAGACTGCTCGGGAACTTGGAAGTTGACGGGCCGGAAGTTCGCCACTTTGCATTTTGTACCGATGCAGCGGCGAAGTTGCGAACGAATTGGGTTGTTGAAGCTTGTTTACGAATCGAGGCGCGCGTAAATCAGCCTTAAGATCAACGAGAATTAACTCACTATCGGGGTAATGAAATACTTCTTTCCTGCAGGAAAAGCGCAAGAAATATCTTGCCAGTTTCTTCTCCCTTTCCCAGTTTTACCAGCCATTTCCTCTTTTACTCGTTAAGCTGCTCGACGTTCGCGAACCCTCCAACGCTCTGCGGAAACGTCCTGTTACCTGCGATCGTTTTGCAACGTCTGCGACGACGTTTAGCGGAGATTATTCGAGATCAAATTCGGGATACGGGTGTTACGGAGAGGAATTTCGTAGATCGAGTTTTCGCGCTAATTTCGCGATTTTGAATGGAAATCAGGTTCGATGGAACGGCGTTCTTTAGAACCGTATTTTGTTCCAGAGCTCAATTCGACGTCTCCGTCGACAGGCGAATTCGGTGAATTAGTGGAAGACCTCGAGAACGACGACTTGAACAAAGACACGATCGACGACGAAGATGCTGTTGAGGACATCCTTTACATGCGTGGCGCGTCCTTCACGATACACCTGGACCCGCCACCCGAAAACTCGACCACCAATTCCACCAAGGTCAACGAAGAAACGAGCCCGGCCTTCGATCGGGTCGAGCTTCGGGCCACGTCCCAGGTAACAGGAAATTTCTTATTTTTCCCAGAAAATTTGCATCGCGAGAACGCGAAACACGCCTAGGCTCGGAACAGTTTCGGAAATTAACGGATCGGTCGATGCGATAAGCCGGTTGATGTAATTCCATTAATTAATAAGCGACGATATTAATACCGCGTTAACTATTTAATCAACTAGATATCTCTTTGCTTGACTCGAAATCGGATTATCCACGCTGCTATCGCGAGTCTATCGGTTAACCGCTGTAAAACGATCGATGCCGCGTACACCGTGTCCACCATGAAGGAACCTCGACTTCCCAAGTTAAGTTCTTGCATCGAACTTCGCGCAAATCTCGACGCGGAAAAATTATCTTCGTCTCGAAAATTTCGAACCCCCTTCTGTCCCCCTGTCTCCCCTTTTCACCCCCCGAGTCCGTTCCTTCTAACTCTCGATGATCGATCTAACAGTCGATGCGCAGTTATTCGTCCAGGATTTGTCCAGCAGCGTTCGCACGCAATTTCAGAGCCGTTGTTTATTATCGCTCTTCGTCGTTTCCAATCCACGCGTTTTCCCTTTCTTTCCACCTTCCACTCGCTGGTCCATTCGCTTTCCCCTCGTTTCGCTCTGTTATTAACTCGAAAACGTAGAATATCGCGCGGCACAAAGGTTATCGGGATAATTGGAAAATTGTTGCAGTTATTCGCTGGACGTAGTTTCAATCTCGATTTCAGCTCTCGTATAATATCGCTGGAACGAACGCGAGTGCGTCCCTCCTCGTCGGATGCTGGCGCCGTCCTCTTCGACCCCCTGACGCGCGGAGAACGCTATTCGACGGCCATTGCGCGCGAAAATTTCGTTTTTAACGGGACTACGAACCACGCGCGTGATTTCCACGGGAATACGGTCGCGTTGGAACGGAAAGAGTTTCGAATTATTTTGGAACATCGAAAAGCGGGAGTGTTTGATAGGAGATGCACACTGGGCTCGGTGGACACTGGACAGTTGCTTCCGGAAGATTTTTCGAGCGTTTAGAACGTAAACGAAATTTAGTGGCAATGAATTGACAGTGAACAGTGGCATTACTGTGTGTAGAATTCCTACGTTGAATATTTAGCTACAAACTGCAGACAATCCTGACTGCCGGCAGTTTCAACGGTGCCATTTCAGCGTCAATCGGGGCCATTGCTTAATACGATGGTTTACGAGCGTGCTGTACAGTCGCAACTGCCATGCACGCGTTTTCGATGTTTATAGAGGCTTTTTATCATCATTTTTTCAGTGACGACCTTTCGAAATTTTTTACGTCCTTTCGAAAGAAAATATTTCGCGTATTTGGCGTTTATTAAAAATATGCGCTTTCACGATCGGTAAATATACACAAGCGTTTATTAGTTGATGAAAAATGAAGAAAATATCGCTGTGTATTTTCGCTTTTGAATATTCGTTCTTAAAAATTGACGCGGGTAACGCGTAACACGCTGATGGAAATCTGCTAGGTTAATATTCGTTCACGCAAGAATGGGCAAGAATAATATCGCGTGGAGCAGAGTCAAGACGCTGTCTTTGGTGTCTTAGACGAGTGAAGCGATTAATAGGCGACAATGCAATTTATTCCGCTTTGTCACCCCCGCGTGGCAACGTGCCGGGGTGCAGAGTGACGGGTAAGAGGCGTAGGCGTGAGCCCCGGTACTCTTGGGATTTCGGCTCGAGCGTAACACCGAACAGCCAACGTCTCGACGTAATGGGCTACACGGAAAAGTTCAGGATATAAATTTCCTCGGAGTCGCTGAAATCGAGATTACTTCTTCGACGCGTCGAACGGGCCGATTAATATATAGGCGAGGATGCAATTTGTTCCTCTCGCCGCTGGGGGACGGCGTTAATTTTCAAGTGCAAGCGAAAATTTATAGATACTCGCGGGAGTTTCGACTCGAGTACTTATCGGAAGGATCGTTAAACGTTGCAGAGATATACGGAAGACGTCGAAGTACAGGGATGAAATTTTTCGATGGTTGTGACTAGTGATTATATCTTTCCCTTTGCCCTACGATTTAAGATTCAACAGCGTGGTTCCAAAACGCAAACAGAGCCATTCCACGGCTCGGCAAATCTGTCTTAAGTTGTATCAATCGCACACGACATGGGCGTGACACGTGGTATTCACATTTGGCCCGGTCGACGTACCACGAGCCAGGCTCGTGATAGTCAGTTTCGACCCGATCGATGTATCACGTGCCAGGCACGTGATAATCTGTTTTGGCCCGAAAGCCTGATCACGAGTCTCACACGTGGTTGTAGGCTAAAGACTTAACAATGTAACACTCGAACGCAGCACTTCCGGTGTAAATCATATATCAGATCTATATCGAAAACGATGTAGACGAAAACTGGTTCGACGATTTATTTGCCATCTTCTCTATTCGCGAATGGGGAGGGGATAATAGAAGCGATAAACTTAGATTGGAGGCAGGCATAAAATCACGCACACAGGGAACTTCTCGTTGGGAATATTTGTTAGGAAGGTTATGCTAGTTGGGTCAGTTATGTTTGGTTAGTCGAATGGGTAGGTTCGGTTTCCGTGTTGGCGAAATTAGAACGCTCGATGAATCATTCCCGGTACCTGAAGTGTCTGCAACTGCAAAGTGCATTCACGCGAAGTTGCCAAGTTGTTGGCTGTTCGTTTGTCGTTGCACTTGCCGTTTCGAAGTTTAATTCGTTATCTAAAGCGAAGTAACGCATAGCCGACGAGTTTTACCGTCGCGCGTGTATCGCGAGGGCAATTGCCAGCAGCGGTGGTAATTATTTTATTCGCTAACTGGAATTTATTGCCCGAGCACGAGTTCCCGACGAAAGATAGCGCGCGGCGGTGCATTTCGCCACACTTTTCTCCCGTAATTTCAATGAACCCCCGACGAAAATTTCAAACACCCGGGAACTACGTTCCTTATCCGTTCCTAATCTCGTTTCCCTGGCTAACACGACGGAGGAAAGGGGAAAGAAAAAAATAAGAGAGAGGAGCATGGCAGTTTTAAAAAGCTCGGCTCGTTTCCACGCAACACGGACTTCCTCTGGCCTCGTTTGCCGGGTCTTCCGGCTAAAAACGTCGCGACGCGTGCAACAGGTTCTTCGTGCATCAGCTCCGTTTCGTTTCTGTAGTCTCCAATCTCCTCTGTTTTCCATCGAACCTATGCAAAAAACCTAACCTAATCGTTTCCTTTCAAATTTACACCTGTATCGGAAAAGAACCACTCTCTTCTCCGTTTACACTCGAGGTTAGGCTAACATCGACTGATCACCGTTCTCGCTATTTCCTTCCAAAGTTAGAGTGACGTGAAAATGAACTTCCGTTTTAATTTCTCTCTAAGGGCTAATCTCTACTCTATGTTACCAAGGTGTCTTGCAAATTTAGAAAATTTTAGGCCCGATGTAAAAATCCACGAAATAGAAATTAAGTAAAGACGCGATCCACTGAAGGCATTAAGTCTCACGATCGATAACGACCGATTCTTTTGTCATTGCAGGGGCCGAACTTGGAGCAGAAGCTGCCCTCGACGATGGAGAGTATAGCGAGCACTGAGCCAGCCTGTTCCCTAGATTGCGGTCCTACGGGAAACTGTTACATCGAGCAGAGCCGCGGGGATGACGTGGACCTGGTGGACGACGACGCAGACGAAGCGTCCGACGACGCCTCGATGGCCGTGGATCTCGAAGGGAACAACGTGGCTCCGAGACGGAAGCAAGGGTCCTTCAGGCAACGGTGTCAGTGTCCCCTAGGCAGAGGCGGCGATCGATGTCAGCTCGGTGAGTGATATTTCTCTGTTCGAATAGCACGTGTAGCCACCGGGGCTCGAGTTCTTCGGTGTCTTGCGCGTTCGAGACTGTATAAAATCGGGCTCGGGGGTATCTCGCGGAGGAGTTCGTTGCCATCGAGGGTGCACGGCTCTTGGACGAGAGCCAGTGCTCGACTCGAGCGGGAATTCGTCGGCGTGTGACGCTCGAGGAATCGATCGACTGCGATTTCACAGGGGAGCACGTTTAATTATCCAGCTGGACCTTTCGCTGGATGCTGCGCTTGAGAAGGGGTTGGGAGTTCAGGGTGCTGGAACGATCGCGTCTGGGGTGGGTCTCGCCGCGGAGGGAAGATTAGATCGTTTCGGATAATTTCGTTGGTATTTTCTTCGCTTCTTTGTTTTCCGTGTACTCGGGGTAGCGTTTGATCGGGGTTGTTGGCTTTAATTCGAATCCTATAGGAACCTGGATTTGCGCGAATCCTTACACTAAAACAGGGCTCTATCGATATTGTAGAATTAGAAAATACCGATTGCTACGTCCGAACATTTCTTAAATGGAAAGAAGTTAGATGAGGTTTACGTTCTCTTACAAACGTGAACTAGTTAATCGAGATTTTCACAAGAGTTTATTTCGAGGTGATACAAGGAGTGGATATGTTTACAGGGTTGGTTTAGTTTTTTGAACCAGGGGTGAAGGGGTGAAAGGGTGAAGGGGAGAAGGGGCGAAGGAGTATCTGCTCCCTGTCTTTGTGTATTTTACAATATATTCGGGTGTTGCTGTCATTGGTTGTCGAGACGTGTAATTGGTGGTTGCATTTCTTCCTATTGGCAGCATGTTGATTAGAGTGGTGTATATGGAGTTCGGTGGTTCTTAATGGAAGTGGAAGTTTAAACAAATTGTCAATTTGTTTTTCGGTCTTTGGAAAATTTTAATCTTTTTAATAGGGGGTTAACTCGAATGATATTTTTGGAGGTCCAGGTGTCCGTGAGTCGTGGGACACTGGTCATAAGGAATAACCCATTGTCCCCTCGACTCGGGTCTTCTGTCTTTAAGGGTGAATGTGGAAAGTAGGAATATGAGGTACGGGTTTTTCTTTGGAGACGAAAGTTTAAATACATTAGACTAATTGTCTGCTTGTTTATGGAGGTCTTGCGATTTTTACTAAGACTGACCGGAGTGGTCTTTTAGGACCTTCAGGTGTCTCCAAGTCTCGGGACACTGATCGTAAAGGAGTAAACTGTTATCTCCTCGACTCGGGGGTGAATGTAGAAAATGGTATATGAGATTCGGATCTTTCGATGGAGGTAAAGGTTCAGAAGGATGCGAGTTAATTATCTGTCCGTCTATGGAGGATTTTCAAGCTTTATTGAGGATTAGATCGGGTGATGGTTGGGGTGGCGTAAGGATCCGCGAGTTTGGGGATGAACACTGATGGGGATGAACACTGATCTCTCGATACGATGACTCTTTAGTAAACCCTCTGACTGCTTATAAAATATTTCAACATAAATACATTCTCACGAACCGTTTAGCAAACTGTGTTCATCCCTGAGGATACGTCCACGTGTTTCGAGACAGCCTGTATATCTAACCCTTTGCGGTCGGAGCGGTCCAACAGGAGAGTGTCATTTTGGACGAAAATACACGCTTATTAGAGAAAATATTGTAAATGTATTAATTTTTGTATTGCGTTTCTTCTGATTTTCTCGTCATTTATTTATTTAGCGTACTATAATCATGCTTATCTTATCACTAAGAAAGACAAATGTACGCTAGCTGCTTCATAATACGTCTCCGTAGCTGTAAATAAAATTTGACGGCTATTTTCCGACACTCAAATGGCTAATAATCTCTGTCTGTACATTTCTCCGTGTATGATATTCAGTCGACGAGTAAAATTAGCGAGGGAAAGAAATATCGTCCTGGTATTACGGTTTTGTCCGAAATAGCCTGAATTTCGCGATTAATCGAAGCGTTAAGGAGCCGCTGATCGGCTCCGTGTACACAGCGAGATTTGGGGGACAGTTCATCAGAGGCTGGTACCATGTACCGCCCTAGTTTGCGGTATGTGTCACGTGATTTTCCGTCACCGCACGCGTCTGCGAATTGCAAATTCCGTTCACCGGGCCACCAGGGTTCGTCCGGGTTACGACACTTTGATCTTAGAGCCATTACTCCCCGGTATCGCTCAAGTACAGCGGGTGACACAATTTGATTCAGCCCGAGACCATCGTGCAATTAGAGTTTCGCCATGGTAACGCAATTACACCCTCCCGGCGTTTAACTTTGTTCCAACGTCCCGTGCCTCCGTCGGATGATCGTTAAAAACGATTTTCTAAACGAACGCTCCCGACCTACCGCGCGAAATTTCGAATCGCGATGCTTTTTTCCCGCGATTCGTTAAAGTCGTTTTTCCCATTTCATCGCTTCGCTTGTTGGAAAATTCGATCGATGTTGTCTCTGCGAACAAGTCGCGATTTTCTATTTCTCTCTCCTTTCACATCGCCAAGCGTATGGAAATAGACGAGAGTTGGTCGAAAATCGTTGGGAAATCGTTGGCACGAAACGATTTTTAGTGGCGATTATTCATCGAAATTCGGGAACAACAGTTCAACTCGATTTGATTTATAAGGCGTTGATTTTATTAAAATCGACCGTGTTTCATCGCGGCGCGATAACGATATCGATTAGAGCCTCGTCCGATGATCGACCATCTTTGTTTACGCGAAACGCTGATGCCTTTCGCAAACATTTTTGCTCCCCCGCAATTCCAGCAAATTTTTTACCCATTTTATTTCGTTACTCGCGCGATTCACGCGGAAACTCGTGAGCACGCGATCGGTTTGCGTTCCGGCATTGTGTCCGCGCCGTGATAAACAGTTTTATTTCGTTGAACATCGTTATTTTGTTCGATGTACGCTTTTATTTTCCACGGGAATGACGAATACAAAGGGACACGTAGATTCGAGACTGGGTATTGTAAACCCTATACATGTACATAAATTACAGTTATTTTAATTTACTTCAACAACTCGGCAACGGAAAACGTATCAGACGTTTGTTCGATCTAATCGTTGAATCAAACGAACGTGTATTTTGTACCAAGCGAAGGAAACAGAGAAATAACAGGAAATAGCAGAAATACTCGTGTAGAGATCCTTAGACAATCGAATATTTTACTTACTTTCTCGGGGAAAGTATTCGATCCGTGTTCACCTGGATTGGAAATAAGGAGAAGGAGGTAAAAAATTCGCCAATTTTCTCGCCTAATCTCTGGTAATCCAACTTTCGGGCCGATCCTCCGCGTGCTGCAGAGCCCAACCCCCTACATAATATCGGTCGCTGAAGAATTTATCGCGGTGACGGTCGGAACGAATCGGCGGTTGAATTTTCCACGAGCTGGTGAATCCTAGTTTGCTTATCGTTTATTTATTTTCCGCGGCGTTTATCGGGAAACTGCGGCAGATAAACGCGGCAGAACGTACGGTGGAAGTCGGACGAAAGCCGGATGAAGCTTGAAAGCGGCGATAATCGACGAGGGGGTGAGCGAATTCTTGCCATTCTTTTCGATCCGAGACTTCGGCATAAGCAGACGAATCTCCCGTTCGTGCTTTCGCGTATTATAAATAAATAAACAGGCCGGAGGGTGCGCGCTCGTCTATATTTTTGCGACGACGAGCGAGGGGAGGAAAGCGAGGAAAAAAGAGGGAATATCTCGACGGGGCGCGTACACGAATAGTCTTGGTGCTCACGGTGAATCACGTCGAACGAGATTTATTTATCGGCTCGGCGGAACCGTCAGAGGCACAATTTCTCAGCAATGACGATCGATAAGCTGACGAACTAGCGGCTATCGTCGCGTCGCGAAGATTTGTGCGTTTCACCCTCGTTTATATCGATCCCGCATCGTTCCCGCTGATTTTCGCCCCACATTTGGCTGTACTCGCGGATTCCAAATGGTGTGGATTTTGCCTAATTTATGGAAATAGAAGGAGTGGTTTCACGATAGCGGATTTCTCGTTCGAAGTGTTCAAAGTGTCTCGTGTTAATCCTTCGTGGTAAATATTTCGAAAAATCCGAAAAGAATGAAAATATAGACGGAAAAATTATAACTATGGTTGAAGGCTCCAGTCGATTCGTCCAAAGGCGTCTCTTAATATTATAAACGGAAACTGCACTTCTTCTGACAGCAAGTAGGCGAATATCATAAGTTTTCTCGATACCCTCCTCTCTCTAGGTAATTAAATTTAGTAGAAACCATATGCTACAGTTAGAGACCCCAGTCGATTAGTTCAAAGCCGTCTCTCGATATCATAAACGAAAACTGCAACTCTTGACAGCAAGTAGGCGAATACCGTAATTTTTCTCGATACCCTCCTCTCTCTAGGTAATTAAATTTAGTAGAAACCATATGCTGCAGTTAGAGACCCGAGTCGATTCCTCTAAAGTCATCTCTCAGTGTCATAAACGAAAACTGCAACTCTTGACAGCAAGTAGGCGAATACCGTAATTTTTATCGATACCCTATGCTCTCTCTAGGTAATTAAATTTAGTAGAAAGCATATGCTACAGTTAGAGACCCCAGTCAATTAGTTCAAAGTCGTCTCTCGATATCATAAACGGAAACTGCAACTCTTGACAGCAAGTAGGCGAATACCGTAATTTTTCTCAATAGCCTATCCTCTCTCTAGGTAATTAAATTTACTAGAAAACATATGCTACAGTTAGAGACCCCAGTCAATTAGTTCAAAGTCGTCTCTCGATATCATAAACGGAAACTGCAACTCTTGACAGCAAGTAGACGAATACCGTAAATTCTCTCGATACCCTATCTTCTCTCTAGGTAATTACATTTAGCAGAAAGCGTATGTTATACTTAGAGACCTCAGTCGATTAGTTCAAAGTCGTCTCTCGATATCATAAACGGAAACTGCAACTCTTGACAGCAAGTAGGCGAATACCGTAATCTTCCTCGATACCTTATCCCGTCTCGAGGTAATTGAACTAATTGTCTGGG